GTGTGTGTGTGTGTGTGTGTGTTGTATAGACTTCCATGTACGCTTTTCTTGGTACATATAATGTATACATGTATATTCATTTCGTATACACATCAGTTTCTTAATGTCTATTACTTTAAAATCTAAATGTCTAATTACATTAACATATCTTTTTATATTTCAAAAACTATATCACAGTTGTGTTTGAAGGAGAAATGGGGATTCAGAAAAAAGAAAGGAAGTCATTCAGGTAACTAATATTAAGCACAGTCTATTCAGTAAGATAAATATAAAATGTGGTGAACACAAAGCATTGGCTATTCCAGACACTAGACCTGAAGATTTATCAGGTTATCATATTTATAATTGTTTATTAATTAATTGTCAGAATGCATCAAGTTTTCATTAATATTCTTGTTACTTGATGGTTTATCAAAGTATTACGATAGATAAATACTTTGGAATCCATCTGTATTAGACCATGCTCATCTTATAATTCTTATGGCAAGAAAGATTTTAATCTTATTTACTGAATAGACTAAGCTGCAACTGAAAACATTGTTTTTCGACAAGATAAAAAGATAGAACTGTAGGAAAGGCATCACTTAGCTAGGTCCAGGAGGAGCATTAAAATTAAACATGGTAGTAGGTGGACGTCCCGGTAAAGGTTTTGGTGGTAACCTCGGTGTCACTGATCCTAAAATACAGTGTGTATATATATATATATAAATAATCAGAATAAATCTTAATAGTATAAAAATATTTATGATACAAAATCTGCAAATTCGCAATAATGTTATGCGGTAATGTTATCTCACCGTTAGGCTGCGTCGGTGGAAGTTTTGTAGGGCTAGGGCTATTGAAAGACATATGTCTCCGTGGATGAACGATAGTACAACATGTATTTTCTAAAGTAGAATTTCGGCGTGTCAGTAATGCCGAACTACTTGGATTCAGCTTTGCTGGAAGTCGTGGTGGCAACGGCGGTGGCGAGAGATCGTCTCTCGGAGGAAGAATTGGTGCGTTTGGAGCTTGTTTTGCCTAAATTTATTTAAAATCAATTTTTTATTTTTGCGAAAAAAAATTATCACAATTATCTTTTTTTTTCACAAATCTTATGCAAAATATTTTTAATTAAACGAATTTTAATTAATTTAAAATCTTACTTGTTGTGGTGATTCACTACATGAATTTTCTCGTCGTTTAGATCTTGGTGGTATAGGTGGTGGAAGTTGGCTAGAAGACATATTATTAGGAGATGATGGTGTTGGTATTGCACTGGGGCTTCCACCTGGCAATGGTAGACACGTTGAATCACTTATCATGTTTATAGTGCTGGTATTAAAGATGAAGTGATTACTTTGATGATGTGTAGTAAAGAAATGTCCAGGGGATTGAGGGCTGCTGTTTGACGAAGCAAGCGAAAGCGTCGACATGCTAGGTGGACTAGGTGACGCCGGAAGTGGCACAGCTATGGAAAAATAATGCGAGGGTTATATATTTATAATTATTATTTACATACAATTTAAATATGGATGTATACCAAATAAGACAGGAGCAAAAACGCTGTGATCCACTATATGTGGAACTGTGATTTGTGATACATGTGGTGGTGTTTCCGGTAATTCATGGGAATACGCGTCCGTTGGAGGATCGTGTAATCTTACACTGGACGTTACCACGTGTAATGGAGCTGGTAATCTTCCGCTCCTAGCTTTGATTCCTGGCGATTTCAAGTTCAAATCTGGCCATTTACGTGGCTGTTGTAAAAAATAAAAAGTGTATAATATTAATAATAATTATTTTTATATATCATATATTAAGTAACGCTTACAAATCGTGGAGGTTGCCTACATCCTCTTGGCTCTATTTCTAAACTTTTATTATACAAGTAATTGCTTATATCTGCATCTTTCATATTAGGATCAAAAGGGCACAGATTTTCAAGAAATTGTCTTATTCTAGGTTCCACTGAAAGACAATAGGGTTGATTTTGATACTGTTGTATTTCGCCAGTTATTTCTGCTACTTTTCTGCGTTTGCTAAAATTAATGAGCTCCGGACTTCCCGGTAAATAATCTGGATTTCCCTCTTCAATATGCAGAATATTGGTTAAGTACATACCTAAAATAAAGGGGAAAAAAAAAGATTTAATTTTTTGTAGTAATAAGAGATCATCATTTTGTAACGCTTACCAAAAAATGGTACGCATGGTGGATTAATAGATCTTAGTTTTTCTTGATACTTCCGAAAATGATCATTGTTAAGCTCTCGCGCTTCTTCCAACGCTTTTTCTAATCGTGCATGTAATTGCTATAAAAATAAACATATGAGAAAAAAGAATAACTTAATAATTCAAGAATTCTACAAAAATGTATGCATGAATTGGACATACTTGAAACGTAAATTTTAATCTAAAAACCGAAGCCGACCCCATAGCGCTGATAACAGCCAAAACGCCGTTAAAATTGTTAAGGTCTTGCAGCACCATCATTACTTCGATTGCACGTGATACAATGGCTACTCTCTCGTCAAAGTTTTCAGCTTCTACTATTGTTTTTTCTAGCCACCTTGTAAACTAACAAATCATAAAAGAAATAAAAATAAAATTAGTTTGTAAAACAATAAGCATGTGATATATCTCGATATATTTAATCGATAATTTCAGTAAAAAAAAAAAAAAAAAAAAAAACTTTACATTTGTTGTGTGCTTAATCATTTTCAGCAAATTCGGTGATGTCTTTTCCTTGTCCTTTTTTGTCCAAACAGATCCGACTAATTCGGAGGGTTTTACTGTTCTATATAGATCAAACTCCAATAGTGTTAATTGTCTTGCTAATTCGATAGGATGTAACTGTAATTAATAAATTATTTCATTATATTTTGATAACTAGTATCGTCAAACAAATTAATGTATTATAAAAAGATATTGCTATAATAAAATAAATTAGAGAAAAAATTACATACCGTGAGTATCCCATATTCCTCCTCAGGAACTTTAAGATGCCATTCTATCGGTGGAGGAGATCGTTCAAAACTAAACGTGATAGATCGTTGTTCGGATGGTTCGCATTTTCTTTGGACAATTTTTATGACTGAATCAACCCATTTCCGCATAGATTTACCACTAACCGTATCCAAAAACAATTGCAATCTTTCCAAAAGATTTCTGTCACGTTCAAAATCGTAAAAATGATGATCCACCTAAATGAATGAAAATTGAAATAATAGCGTTTTTTAAAAGGATTGTAAACGCAAATTAAACGACATCACACTAACCCAATGTCTTAAAACATTCAAAACTCTAAACTGCACCGGCTGACAAAATTCTTTCCTATATCTTTTCCAATCTTCTCTAGCTGTCTTGCATACAGAAGGTTTTTCTTCTTCACCATAAACTAATGAAGGATCCGGTATATCGAATCTTTTTATTAGCAATGTTAATAACTCTTGAGGGGAGCAGAAACTCCTACAAAATAAATAATTAATTATCATATGCGAAGAGGATTAATATAATACGATGCTATTACTTACCTATAAGTAGTAAGGAATGTTCTTACGAAAGCTGGATCAGCGTATATATGATAAGTTAATCTTTCCACTAATTTTACCAAAGTTGCACCCTTAATTAAAGGAACACCGCCATTTTCTCTGGCTTCCAAAACAATATTTTCCGGACTGTCTTGTTCAGCAAATTTATACAAATGAGACGGTGGTAATCTCAAAGGGTGCTTTCTTTCTTCGTCCAAGAGAATACTATCTAAAGTTCTTTCTAACATACTTTTTGTGTTTAACATCACTAAATCTGCCATCCAATTATTCTTGTCCTCGACAGATTTGGCAACAAGAATAACATTAGGGTGGTCCCTTGGTGCAATTTCAAAAGCATTTTTTAATTCTGTAAATATATTTCAATTACAAAGTGAAAAAATACGAGCGTAATTTAAAAACATAATAAAATAATAAAAATGTGCATTTACCTTCGGTATCTTCTCTATCGATAATATCGACTTTCCTAATGAAAAGTCTCTCTTTCAGTCGGAATTCACCTTGATGAGTCGAGTGTCCACCTACTCCGACTGCAACAATACCCGCCGCGACAGTAACACTAACTCTTTTGCTACCAATTGGTTTGCACAATACTAACAAGCCATCAAACAATAAAGCTTTCCTTTCTGTTAATCTTCGTCCATTACTAGCCACTTTCTTCAATGTATCCTCTACAAATATTATTGATCAATAAATGTAAAAAATAATTGTGGACGTATTAATTAATTATTAAATTGAAAGACATATTAAAAAGAGAAGTTTCTTTATTACCTCTAATAAATTCATTGCAACACTGCCCGATATCTCTTTGATCCCAGCCATCCACAGTCTTTTGTAGTTTCACTAGCCTTCTCTAGTGCCGCCTGTCTTCTTGCTCTACTTTGCATCCGCAAGCCAGTATCCTTTTTTGGAAGACTCGCTACAGATTGCATTAATTCCATTTGTAATGGTCTTAACAAGCCTTGGACCTGTTCCAGAGTTTCGCCATCCTCTGTATTGGGTGTGCGCTTGTTTAAAACCTAAGATTTACGAAAAAAAAAAAAAAATAATAAAAAAAAAATAAAAAAAGTAAGGATCACAAAAATTATTCTATATATACAACATACATACATATACAACAGGTAAGAAGATACCTTTATATAATCAAAATACAGGAAGCAATGCCATATAGGTTGCATTAAAAGTTTTGGCAAATAATATTTAACAGCTTCCTTGAAACCATGGCCTGCTGCTCGTAAAGCCGCACTAGCTTCCGGTCTCGACAATAAATTGGTTAAAACTTCCCGACTAGCTGGACTATTAATATCCTTCGCATATCTAGCGATATAATATAATTAGTAAGAATATTATACATGTATGTATAATATATTGTATAATGCAATACACACTTTATATAAACATCGAATTCTGCTGCCTCTGCCAATTCTTCAAAACATGAGCCAACTGTAGGCGTTTGCTTTTCTTCCGTAATTTCCATTATATCTTCTAAACTGCCAAGCAACGTCATTGTAACTTCATAAATATCTGTAATATTACTAAAAAGCGTCTCAAGCTCGCTCTTGTCTTGCGTTAACTTTGCAATTTCTTCCCGAAATACCTAATAATAAAAATTGATTTTTTAAATATCTTTCTCGAAAAAATTTAAATATTTCCTAATATCTATTACATATTACCTTGATAATCATATGTAGATCACGAATGTAATGTCGTTCATCGTGAATGAGGTCTCGAACAGACTCTTCGTAAGTCTGTGAAACAACTGCACCCAAACTACTTTGTGGACCTTCTGTACAATCATCTTGATAAAACATATCCATCAGTACCTATGAATGAATTGTATATCATATTACAAATAAATATTTTCAACTTTTCTACATCTTTGAACATCAATATAAAAAAAGGAACAAATAGAATATTTGGTAATTGGAATATTCATGGCAATTTTTTATCCTTGACAGAAATAGTCATGCAACACAAAATGATTTAAAAAATTAAGAGGAATAATTATTAAAATTACTTTATGCAAATTCTTAACGGCAATTTACATATGCTGTTAATATACTGTCAATATTTATTATCCGTATCTATATTATTAAACTCATGCTATAGCATAATTAGCATACCACAGTGTAGATAACAAGAATTTGTACATGATTCATAAGTTATATTAATCCTCTATTTTTAAAAGGGATAAAAACATACTGGCGCATAGAGAGGATCAGGCAATTTAAATAAATTATATTTCTTTTATATTTAGCGATAAAAAGTACAAATAAATGTTAAATGATAACGTTGAAGA